TGTTGACAATGCAACTGCCAATAGTTCAGCTTTAAGGAGGTTTCACGCTAGTTTTGAAGAACAATCTAATGATGCTTTTGTGTTAGATGGAAGTTATATGCATGTCAGATGTTGTGCCCATATCATTAACTTGATTGTGAAAAATGGTTTGGCTGAAGCAGATGATAGTGTAACTGCTGTGCGTAATGGGATTACATATGTTAGATCATCTACACCTAGGTTGAAGTCATTTGAATTGAAAGTGAATTCAGGAAAGATGACGAGAGGTAGTTTACCATTGGATGTAACAGCATGTTGGAATTCGACATTTACCATGTTGCATAAGGCTATTAAGTTCAAGGTAGCATTCCAGAAGATGGAGTCATAAGACAAGCTGTACAATGATTACTTCATGGAGTTTCAGAATGGGGTAAAGAGGATTGGACCTGCTACTAGAACTGATTGGAGTGTTGTTGAAAGGTTAGAAAAATTCTTGATCATCTTTTACAACTCAACACTGGTTGTCTCAGCTTCTAGTTCTCTGAACTCCTTCAAGTGTTATGGTGAGATAGTGACTATAGAGAAAAATCTTATGAATAAGATGAATAGTCCTGATTCGGAATTGAGGGAGCAGGCTGGAGAAATGTTTCAGAAGTTTGATAAGTACTGGGAAGGAATGAAGAGAATCAATAAGATGTTGATTTGAGTGACAATCTTTGATCCTAGGAAGAAGATGAAGTTTGCTAAGATGTGTTGGGAGCAACTCTATGGGGTAGATAGTACTAAAGGTAAAGAGATGAATGAATCGGTGTTTGCCGTTATGCGTGCCATGTTTGACGAGTACAAATCTCGTTTTTGCAAGGAGACAAATCTGATTTCTCCTCAGTCTACTTCAACATCACAGTCACAGTCACAGTCACAACAATCACAAGAGAAATAGGTATTGGTGGATGATGATTCAGGGTATGAAAGGATGGACTTCATGTATGACATGGTCGATGATATAGGAGTCCAAGACAGTGATGAATTAGACATATATTTGAAGGAGAGTGTTGTGAAAGGTTCAGCTATGAAAGGGACAAAGTATGATGTACTCTCTTATTGGAAGGTGAACACTGGAAAATTTCTTGTTTTAGCAGAAATAGCTCGAGATTTACTTGCAATGCAAGTGTCATCTGTGGCATCCGAGAGTGCTTTTAGCACTAGTGGTCGGATCATTACTCCTTATAGGAGTTGTCTAACTCATTATATGATTGAGGTTTTGATATGCACAGAGCAGTGGTTGAAAGCAGAAATTCAGTTTAATGAATCAAAAGAGGTTAGAAAGGAACAAATCATGGAAGAATTTGAATATGAAGACAAGCTTAAGAGAGATAATATTTTTTTCTACTATTTTCTATTTTAAATCATTTTTAGTGTCTTACTAATCTGGTTCTCTTGACTTTTTTCAGAGTATGACACTCCAATAATAAGAGAAGAATGAAGTGAATCATTTGACAAATTGGGTGTAAGGTAACACATTGTTTTTTCTATTATTTTATCAGTTTTTGTCATATTACATTCATAGTTTGCTTATTATTACTTCTGATGTAATATAATTTTATGTTACAGGAAAATGAAGAAAGTGCTTTGGAATTCTTCATTTGCAAACTTTAATAACTTTTTCATATTCTATTTGAACTTTGAGTTTTATTTCGATTTTTAAAACTCTTATTTGAGATTTTTTTCTTTCATGATTTTTTATGTGGTTGTATGAATGGTTGAATCATACTTTGATAGTGATTTTAATGTTTATTTTGACCATTCATTTTCTTAGATTTCGGATATTATTTGTGTACTTCGGATATTTTTTAGCAAGTTTGGTTACAATTCGGATACATATAACCAAAACACTCGAAAACCTAACTAGACCCGTTTGTAACCGAAATTTTTCGGATCAATATCGGTTTTTATATATAATGTAAGAACCGACCTGAACCCGAACTATAACTACCTGAACCCGATCCAAAAATTAGAAATATCCGATTGGGGTCTTCAGCTCTATACCCAAAAACCCGATACCCAAAAGAACCGACCCGACCGAGTCCAGGTTATCCGAACGCCCACCCTTATTATCTAGAGATCTCTTAAATAAGAGACATATTTTCTTTCTCTCTTATTTTTTTCTTTGTTTTATTACATTTATATATTGAGATACTTTACTAGAAACTTCCAATAAAGGTGCTTTTAGTACTTTAACATATGTATATCAGTAAGTTTTACGTTCACTCTTAGGTTTATGTTTACACCAACACCTATTTCACCCTTCCTCGAATAAATTCAAATGTTTATTATACTTTCAATTTTTATTTCCTTTACTTATTTTGCTTTTTTAACGTACCGACCATCTTTATCAATAAGGCCTATATCCGTTCACGAGCCCATAGGTCTCACTTCTGTTCGATGGACAATGTATTAGAAGAGAGGTTTAAAGTCATGATATTGACTATATAATCACCGCGCGATTCTTTTCCATGTTTTGGCCGCACTCATATGATACCGAGAATCACTTCTCGATAAGTCACCAATCCTAGTCATATTTTAGTTCAAGCATGGTTAATTTGGAGTTCTTTCGGGATCAGTGGCTGAAAAGATAAGTGTACTTTGATAATATAGATAGCCAAATCAATTTTTGTAAGTCTTTCCACAAATACATATATATTTCTGAAATTGGGATGTTACAATTCATCCCTACTCATAGAGCGCAACATCCCTGTTGCGCACGAGAACCATTATCCCCAATGATGTGAGCCCTTGTGATACTATACTCTCGTCTAAATTTGGTTCTGATACTAACACATCGACTGTTCTTACTAGTGAACAACACGTCCGCTCTCAGACATGTGAATTCCATCTTTATCTGATGGTCAGTGCGTTAACCGAAAAGCTCGAAAGTTATGAAATATTAACCTTATAGCCACCATGCCATATTTCCTTGTGTTTTGTCCTTATTTACACAATATCATATCACTTCTCGATAAATCATCCATCATAATTTTAATTTAGCTTAATTTTAGAATTCTCTCCAAACAAAAAAAAAAATTAAAAATTAATTCTCTTAAACTTCTCCCTATATTTTTATATTCTTAAAAACACAATGTTATCATTTTGTTCGTGAAAGCCTTTTGACATATTTACTATTTAAGTGGATACACGTCGGTGTTTTGGCACACACAGAAAAGGAACTCAAATTGGTAATGTAATTAATTGCGATATTGCTCAAAAATTGGACATGCAACTAACCCTAAGTTATAAACTCTAACACTTAAAAAAAACTAAATATTTGACTCCAAGATATGGAATACCGATCAATTTCCTCAATTTGTACCACCTTTTTTTAACTAAAAACTATCATTGATTAGTCGATTATTCAATTTAGTCATCTTATCGTCCAAATAACCTCTAAGAGATTTTCAAATATTATTAATATTTAGTATATATGTGGATTTCATGTTATGTTAACTAACTGTACACGTTTTTTTTATAATGTATCTTGACTTTGTATGTAAAAAGTCCACGAGGTACATGATAAATCGATTTCTTTCTCCAGGAAAGAGTATTTGTTTGGGTGGGTTCTACTTCTAGGAAAGAGTCTTGTGTAGACTGTGGACCTAATACAAACAAAATACATTTATAATTATAAGTTTGAGATTACTGACGTACTCTAACGTAAACAAACGAACTACACAAAGGTAGTAAAATGAATTCAAAAACGAAAATATAAATGTTGAGCGTGTTAAAATATCAAATATAAATACATTTGAAAGAAATGTATACTTCACGGTAGAAAAAATACGATAGGAGGAATTTAGTGTTTTTTGAAGTGTCGATAAGTTTGTAAAAGATCTTAAATATCTATTTTGGGTATAGCTGGACTTGTTACATGTAGATGATCAAGAACGTTTTAAGGAGTTAAATGTTAAAGTCAGAATTTGTTGCTATAGGGGACATGAAGAACACTTTCACCAGAAGAATAGATTGTCAGGCAATTCTGATTTGGTGTCAATCATCCAATTCTTGGAAGCATTGTCTGCTAATTCTCCAATACATTAGATGAGATTGTTTTTTTTTTGAAGATACATTTTTAGATATCTCGCTCTCTTAATTTATGTTGGTTTAAATTTTCAAACTGGCTGTGTAACCCGTTTTCCCAAATTAAAAGTTTAGATGTTTCTTTTGTAAACGCTTTTTATATTTGAACAACCAAGCATAGAGTCAATTTCTATTTGAATGTATGCTTGCGGGAAAATAAATTGTTTACTTTACCATAATGATCAACTGTACGTATTGGTAATTTTCTCATAGCACGACTTGGATAAAAGATAGAACAAGTATTATGTTTAGTTAAGAGTAGCTCTTCGGCTTTGCTAAACAAGTATTATGATGCATGTAAAGACTAGTAAAAAACGTGTAATTAAAAAAAATCGTATAATCCTAAAATCAAATATTTATCCCCAACAGTAATTTATAGTATGAACTTTCATACATGAAGATGTAGGTCATCAAATAAAGACCACATAACCCAAAACTAAAAAAAAAAAGATCTTTACTCAACCACAATTTTCTTAAAAGCACTAAAACCACCTCTATCGGAAGTCTCACACCACCATATTTTAAGAAAAAAAAACTAATAAAATAATTAAAAATAAGAAGAAGAGGAAATAGTATTTTTTTTTTTCTTATTTAAGAAACACTTCTAAACTTTTTAAAAATCTCATTTAATGTGTGTTATTTTATGATTAATTTAGATTTTTTCATAACTTAATTTTTTTTTAGATATAAATAACTGAATAATGGCAAACAAATCATTATCAAACTCCTAATTTTCCTTAAACAAATTAGTCACCAAAAGAAAAATTGATGGTCAAAATTTTAGACGCCAAACATAGAATACACGAAATTTCCAAACACATAATACACGAGATTACCAAACACAGAATACATGAGATTCTCCTCCAACCAGTAAGAGGAATTCCCATTTTGTCGGCAACAACTACTATTAAGCTTTAAGAACGAAAGTTCATGAAGACATGCAAACATTTTTGTGAACTTATCAAAGAAAATAAGGAGGCCAAAAGATAGAGAAAACACTATCAAATGGTATGGTCTCAATTAAAAACTAAAATTTAAATAAAGCACATAAAGTGTTATTCAAACAAAGAACAAAAACCATAGCAATTTGTTAAACAGAATAACTAAAACTCATACTGAAAAAAGTAAAAAAAAAAGCTCCAATCAAGAACCACATTCATGACTTCAATCCATGTTAAAAGTATCTCATTCAGCCACTTGGTTTACGAAGGTTTCGTTTAATCCATCCACAACGGTCTGTTATAGACATATTCACGAATCCAGATTTCATACCTAAGCTGTGAACAAGTGTCACCGCCTTGTAACGCAAGTCGTCATCCAAATCAGAAATTTCTTTGATAGCATCCCAAACATTGTTAGCTTTGTCCTCAGATTCTTTTTCTTCAGCTTCTTTTTCCCATCTTTTTTGTATCATGCCAAAGATCTGGCTACTGATTTCTGTCACGTCATCATCAACCATGTTGGAGTTATATGCATCAGTTCTAGCTTTCTTTCTTTGGGGAAGCTTTTCTCCCTTACTTTTTCCTGATGAAGAAGAAAACAGTTCACGCTAAGATGCTTGCAGCTGTATTATCCCTTCAGCAAAATTGATATCATTTGTCCTCTCGGTGGCTTCAACTTGGTAGGTATCTGCATGAATGGTATCACCTAATCCCACAATATTTTGTCCACTTGCAGTATTTGGACCATATATCGCTTTTAACTCCTCATAATCTTCAAAGGAATCATCACGCAGATATTTCTTATCTGGATGAGCCTATATAAACAGAGAAAGAACAACAAGTATCATTATAATAAGAAGCATATATAAGCAACACTAACACATTCATAAAGGTTTTGTTATAGTTTTCTACCTTCAAATAGACATTCCATACTTCATCATCTGCTGTGAATTTTTTTGTTTCGAGATCCCACCCAAAACCCGAACTACAACGAAGATATTCTGCAAGACTTTGGTACCTAGCCTTCAATATCTTTGTCCCATTTCTATACTGGCTATAGGTTATATAAGATCCAAGCTTTTGGTTTAGAGTTGAAAGTATTATTGTCTCTATCGTGAGTTTGTTGAATTTACCATCAGATTGGCGGAAACCTTGATTGATTGTATCCACTAGTAGCCGTCATAACAATTTATGTTGAGGTTCAGACCATTGATGATATTGACCATTACCTTCTACATCTTGTGGATCTCCCATTGTGTGCGAGTACCTAGTCATAGAATACAATATAGATAGTAAAAACCAAACTATTAATCAATCTACACTATTTAAAACCAAATCTGAAAAGCAAAATAATTGAAGAGATCTTAAAGTGACTGCCAAAACGATAATATTATACATGATGAGTTCTCATATATAGCATCAAAATCATCCAAATCATATGAATACTATTCCAAGACAAACATTATCCAAATTCATGAAAAGTAAACAAAAATTGAATCAAACGTGGAAATAAGCAAAAGTAATTTGAAAAGAATACTTACTTTGACAGAAGAGACAATGGAACCTTGACGTACTGATAGCAATTTGGTAAGCCACTCCCCTTTGAACTCTGATACAAAAAAAATATTATTGATCATATATATGTACACCTATCAACCTAACCCTAAAAAAAACTAAACGAGAAGCCCATATTTATATTTTTTTCTAAACAATCAGCCCATAAAGAAATCAACAAGGCATATATTTGAAATCACAACACTAACGCTGTCTTCCATACACTCATATATAAAGTACCAAGGATGCATCAAAAAGTAAAGTACAAAGCAATCGTTACCTCACTATCGGTTCACAGGAAACTCTGTTTTTGGCCCACAACTGTAGCATCTACACTCATCGTTCTCGCCTGCATTGAACACACCATAATCTCAGCCTACAAACAAGTCATAAAGCTACTAATCTATTAAACAGTATTTGAATAAGTTTTGATTTCAAGAAAATAGAGAAACTTCACAATCCAAAAACCTCCCTCTTTCTTTCTGCAGGTTCATATTGGTTAGAATAAAAGAACACGGCTTGCGTGAATGTATCATGGTTTTCATAAAAACAAGATAACGAATACGTTAACTTTTGAATCAGGGAATTATTTAAAGTGAACATCTGATTACAAATTTAACGATGTGATGCAACTCCAAAACGTACCATCAATGTTTTTATCCTGGTCAGGGAAAGGGAAATCCAATCATGTCTCGGGATGCAAAGCAAGATCCCTTGCAAGCACAACTACTTCCTCAGTCACGCCGATTGTATTTCCAACATCGCGCTCTTTCGAATTCGCACCCAATTGCAACAAATTTTAAGCGATTTTGGTAAAATTTGATATTAATAAGTTTCCGGAGAGTTTCGAGATCTCCGTTCTGAATCTACATCCGATCTCCACGATATCACTCCTGATCCCAGCAATCAGATCCTCGTCGGTGACTTCCGAATCTCCTCCGCATGATCGTTCGTCTGATTTTATTCCATATGATCTGAAGAAGCAGGCGGTGGTGTGAGGAAAGAAGCCACACCCCATAGCTGTGATTGCAACACCGATGGCGAAGACAGATGATCGAAACCGGAATCTTCAATTGAATGGGACTTAATCGTTTGCTTTTCGTTATCTTCATCCTCATTTATCCTCAGAGAATTTGCAATGGATTTGGCTAACTATGCCATTTTTCCTGGATTACGCTAGAAGGATAAAGAATAGATAAGATTGAGAAATGAACGATTATATAGAGAAGCAATTGATTTATTGATGGCAGAGAGAAAAAAATTTCAACTCAAAAATCTGTAAGGAAAAAGATGATGAAAGAAGCTGACGAAGAAGAGATATTTTTTTTTATCCATTTTTATAAAGAAATAATTATTTTGAAGTCTCTTCAAAAAACACCTCTTTATGTGTGAATTTTTGAATCATCATTTGTGACTAAAAGTGGACGGAAAATCTCTTCAAATTCTTTTCATAACTATTTTTTTTTTAAAATGTTTGGTTTTGAATAACAGGGATTTTAATTTAGTTTTCACAAATTCTTAATTGAATAACATGGATTTATAAATGATTTTAGTTAATTTTACATAAATTCCTTGTTCAATAACATCAATTTTGGAAAGACATTTAGAAATCTCTAATTCAATAACAGAGATTTTTAAAACAACCACTAAATCTTTTAAAATTTCTAATTCAATACACCCCTCTTAAAATTCTCAATCATGCTTTACACATATTTTTTTAAATTACAGATCTTTTTTTTTTGTTTTTTGCTATACAGAGTAAAGTATGTAAAATATTAATAGTTTGGTTCTGAAAAATTAAAAATCATACAGTACTAAAATCTATAGTTAAAAATTTACAGTTTTATTTCTACAACAAAAAAAACTAAAGTTACTGCAATAATCAATCAAACATAATTTATACCAAAACTAAAAAGTAGTTTCTATTTCCTTAAAATTCACAAAATAGCTGAAACAAATATTTGGTTAAAAACGTTAAATCATTAATCTCCTACTCTTTCTAGATAAATAGCACGAGTTGGTTGGTTCAGGAAATATGGCATGATCAGCTACTTGACTATTCATCTCCCTAATTCTACACTTTTCCAGGTAACATGGCACCAGATGTGTAGGCTTCGGGCTTTTTTTTTTTTTTTTTTTTTTTTTTTTATATTTTATCCCAAATTAACAAAGTAGTTTATAGTATTTAAAAACAAATCACAAAATAATCCGAAACAAAATTCTAAATTTTAAAATTGAAATCTCAAAAGTCAAGCCCCAATCTAAAATCTTAAACTCATAATAAAACAAAAATGACGAACTCTAAAAATTAAGTCATAAAAATAATAGTGATGTATTTTCTTAATTTTAGAAAACAATTCTTATTTTTTTATTCTATAATTTATTTTAGCATTTTATTGTTCCATGATCGAAACTCGCCCACAAAAAAACAATGATAAAGATTAACGAATAATAAAAAAAACTTGAAAAAAAATGATAATGAATATTGAAAGGGAAACTAGTAAGAAGACGCCTTGACTATTTCAATGAAAAGGTAGTGTGGCTTGCGAAAACCCCCCACACAGTCTCACCTAGTAAGAACAGAAATGGCACCAAATAATGGTCCCGCCCTCAATTACCCGACAAAATATGAAAAGACAAAGAGTAATAATAAAGAAAACTAGTATAGTCCAAACGCGTAAAATATTTTCCCATTTAACTCAGAAAAACCAATCTCTACTTCAAAGTATATTGCAGCTATATAAACATATGATGAGCACATGAAGTTTCACTTTTATTTAACAAGCAAATGTGTTGTAAAGCACCCCAAACAAAAAAAAAAAAAATGGAGGAAGAGCTCCCAGTAGGGTTTCGTTTCTATCCGACGGAAGTAGAGCTAATTTTGTTCTACCTAAGAATCCAGCTCGACGGAGGAAAGGCCACCATTCACAGTCTCATACCAATCCTTGATGTGTTTAGCGTTGAGCCTACTCAGCTTCCAAGTACGTATGCAAGCAGCAATCATAGGTCTATATGAATAGATGTTGATGATATATGTGTCGTTGATTTCTGAATAATTTAACTTCTATTTGGCCAAAAAAGACATTAACGTCACGTCTCATTGTAGAGTATTGTTATTATTATTATTATTTTTTTTTTTTTGCATTTCTTGAGTAGAATAATCTGGTAATTACTCATATTGAGATTGTATGCATGAGATTTAGGTTTTAACTATTTAGTTGCGTTTGTGTTTGTGTTTGGAATTTGCGTTTATATGTAAATTTACTTTACAAAAAATCACATTTTTGGTATAGTGTAAACGTAAACGCCAAACTCAAATTAAGTGTTCTCTTTTCATTTGTGTTAGGTTTTCGTTTTTAGAATTTTGAAAAGAAAAAAATGATTATATTATTGAAGATGCTAAAATAATGATTCATTTGGAGAAAATATGCGGCCTACGCATAAATGTGTTCTTTGTTTTATAGATCTTGCGGGTGAGAGGTGTCGAGGAGACGCAGAACAATGGCTTTTCTTCGTGCCAAGACAAGAGCGGGAAGCTAGAGGAGGAAGACCGAGCAGGACCACTGGTTCAGGATACTGGAAAGCAACTGGTTCACCGGGCCCTGTGTTCTCGCCAGATAATCGAGTGATCGGAGTCAAAAAGACGATGGTTTTCTACACCGGTAAAGCTCCCACGGGGAGAAAGACAAAATGGAAGATGAATGAGTATAAAGCAGTTGACGGAACACTTACTGTATCTACCATTCCTAAGGTAATTAATAACCACATTTTTATCAGATAATAATATTGAACGAACTAGGCTTTTGTTATGTCCAAAACAGATACCATTGATTTTTCATCTGTTTCATATATATGTATAATCCGGTCATAACTTATAAGTTGTAATTTGTAAGTTTTTGATATATTTACATAAAAAGTGGGCGGTATTTATTAAAAAATTCATGTTATTTGTAGTATATATTTTAGAAATAACTTAAAATCAATTATACATGAAATGTTAAAAGTAAAACCCAAAAGACCATGCATACATTCTTTTCAATATTGATTATAATATTATATTCAAAGATTTTCTACAATCCCTAAGGGGAATAGCTAGTATCTAAAATTCTAAAACCTTAGAAAAACAAAAGCTTATTTTTCGTTATTATAAAAAAGGTTATAATAAGATTTGTTATATATATATATATATATATTTTTTTTTTTTTCATACAGTTAAGGCACGAATTCAGTATCTGTCGAATCTACATAAAGTCCGGAAGCTCGAGAGCTTTTGACAGACGTCCCACAGAAGCTTATGGGGTAGAGAGAAAGCTTCCTAGCTATGGAGCTGAAACATCGTCCCGAGCTAGAATATCAACATCACCAGAAACTTCATTTTCAGGAAGAGACCAAGTTGATTTATCGATGAATGGTACTACTACACCAAGCAACTTAGAAATGGTTAATGGAGTACCACAGCTCAGAGAGAGAAAACTTCCAAACAATGGAGTTGAAATATCATCAAGTGCCACAATATCAACCTCACTGGAAACTTCATCTTCAGGAGAAGGAGACCAAGTTGATTTGCCAAAGAATGCTACTATTACACAAAGCAATTCAGAGATGGTTGATGGGCTATCACAACCTTTTTGGGAATGGGAGCAGCTAAATTAGTCTTGAAAAAAGTATAAGAAGCAATTTTTTAAAAAATTATAAGATTTTTTTTGGTCTTGAATAATTGGTTGAAAAAAGTATATGGAGATTTTTCTTTTGCTATAATGAATACTAGATTTTGGATCCGTGCCATGCGCGAATTTGTTTTTAACAAATTTTTTTTTCTGGGCTTGTTAAATATTTTGGTCAATAAATTATAATTACACTGTGGCCCAAACATATTTAGCATTGGTATTGTCTGCGCGGATCCAATATTTGCTATTACATATATGTGTTAGGTCACATTTTATATCTGATCAAATCTTTTGTTATTTAGAAATGGGCCAAAGGAAAATTAGTCGGCCCAAATGAAATATGTTTCATTGAGTCGAACAGACAAAAACTCACTGTCCGAAATTAGGATCTCACCAGTCGAGACTCGAGAGCAATCCTAAAAATGGATCGAAAATAAATCAAACTCATTCTCATTTCCTTATCTGAAATCATGAATCCTACATCAATAATTCCGTGTTATCTTCAGATTTCACCACAGCTTTAGAATTTCCTTTAAGATTTGAGAAAGTGATGAGGTTGGATTGCAGCGAGTCACCGATTTGGGGAAATGACTACAAAATCTGGTAAGTTGAGTTCATAATAGCTCTACTCGTTCCAGAAATGTTCGGTTTTAACAACTACGCGTCTCTTATGTGATTTAATTTTTGGTGAAACAACGATTAGTTTGATTTATAACCTGGCTAAATTTTGATCGGATGACATACAGTTTTGCCAATTTCCTGGAATTATGCAGCAAAGAGAAAAGGAAACAGGTAATATCACATATAACTTTTTTAAGAAATGTTAATTTTTGTTCGTCATTGTGGACCTTAAAATCTAGATTCAGATATAATTTCTTCCTATTTTCATTCTGCCTAAAACAATGAGGACAGATGTTTGAAGAAACACAGGAGGAGATATTCAAACATGACATTTTCCAGATAAGTGTCCATTCCCTATTGTTTCGATATATAATAAATCCATTACATAATTTACTCCAGTATCTGATTTATACTAACATGTAATGTTTTTTGCAGAAGATTCCGAAGAAAGAAGATATTGAAACAAAGTAACAGACTCCAAAATGATAGGATTATATCATCTAATAATATCGTAAGTCTACATATTTCTTGTAAGACTATTTTGAGTAAATATTTGCCTCTAACTAATAAACTAATATAAGTCCTCGTTACAGATCGAAAAGGTTGAAAATGATATCAGCAGAATAAAGACGAAGCCACGGATCAGCTTCTTCAAATAACCATTAAGGTAATAATTAAACATTACATATAATGAAAGAAGTATATAGATGTCATAGGTTGATTGTTATTATGGAATATTCAAAGTTGTAATATATAACATATATATATATATATCCTAATATAAGTTGATCGTTGATATAAGAAGATCAATAACAATACTGTAATTAAGAAATAATCCAAAACTTTATTGAAAGTAATAAAAACTGAACAAAGTAATTATGATATATTGTTCATCCATACGAGACACTTGTTAAAAATGAGTTCCCGTAAAAACCATTAAGTAACTACAACCATGAGTTACCAATTAATTAACTTCATAGGTTCTGGAAAATCTCTTTAAAAATAACATTCGTAGTCTTTCTTTGAGGTTTTCATTCCTTATTAACAATCAAAATCTTAAGACCTTTCTTAGACGTAACTCTAGATATGGCAACATAAAGTTGTCCATGAGAAAAAATAGGTCTAGGCAAAAAGATACCAACTTCAGAAAGAGACTGACCCTGGCTTTTGTTGATTGTAATTGCAAATGCTACGGCTAAGGGCAGCTGCCTTCTTCTCATGTTAAATGGCAAGTTGGCATCTGAAGGAGTAATTAAAATTCTAGGAATAATAACTTTAGCTCCAATTTTCTCTCCTGTTATAACCCTTGCTTCAACCATAAAATCTGCTAGCTGAGTAATCTGCAATATAGTTCCATTCATTAATCCTCCAATAGGATCAATATTCCACAACAACATCACAGGACAACCAATCTTCAAACGAATGCTGTGATTAGGTAATCATGAAACTCGCATACTGTTTAAAAACTCTGGTGTAAGTGCATCGTTTTTAGCTGCATTAGTATCAGAAGGGTCTAAAGAGTCTGCACTTAGATATAATTTTTCCTCCCATAGTTCAAGAAGAAAAGACACGCATGTTAAAAAACTTTAAATACAAACATGTCAATGTAAAATTGAATCGAAAAGATATGATTAAGCATGAACTAACCATTTTCAGGATCAACCATCTATTTAATAGAAAAGCAGATAATTAGACAAATCTGTTGGTACGATGATAATAAGTGAGTAATAAAAGTATATAATTTTAATTACGCGCGTATACCTCATCAAAAGAGCCACCTAGTAGCATCGTAGCTGACTGTGGCACAATGGTGCTAGCGACCATATCAAGTAGCATCATCTTAGTCTTAGCTGTTTGGTCCATCACCATAAAATGCAGTTTAAACCTTAAAAGATAATATAAAATGCAGTTACTTATTATGAGGTTAAATAGTAAGAGCCCTATAGTCTAAACCATACAATTCAATAATAAGAAATATTTACTTGGCCTCCACTTTAGTGATAATTTTGTTGCATGCCTTACACCTTCAAGTAGGGCCATTGATACAAATTGTTGCTCCTGCTTGCTTCTTAGTTTGTTTTTCAACCATTCTGTTGCATTTTATGCACCCAAAACAGTACCAACCCCAATCTGTGTCAATAGCATAGATCGAACACACAATCTTGCACTTCTCAACCTATTTTGTTGAAAAAAATAACTATAGTTATATTTTATTGTAAAGAATATAGGACTGTTGTAGACTACATGACTTATTATTATAAAAAGAACTTCTATTTTACCTCCGAAGTAATTAGTAACTCCTCAATAGTCTTCTGTTGCAGGTTAGACCAGTATTCTTTCTTCTTAACCATTTTATCATCATTTGGAGTCTCAACAATGGTGAGAGCAAGACCATCATCTGGCAACCTGACATTTCATTAACCACAAAACATACTTAAGGTAATATAAGTTGCACAATGACATATCGTTAGTGCATTATATTCGATTGAATAAACCACACTCACACATTCATGAATTCTGCAACCTCAGGTAAAAGAGGATTCATCATGAGCTTGGATGTCTCGAATGCATTTGTAATCTGAAGTTTGCCTATAAAGTGGACCATACAGGAGAATGAAATTCCGCAATTCTCTATCGAAACCCTAGCGAGGTTAGTTATTAGAAAACATACCTCTGTAATGTCCAATTTTAGCAAACCTGATTAGGCATATAACAACCTTTCCAGTTGTTTCTTGGCAACTTGTCCAAAGTTGATCAGCACATCTTTCCCACAAACAACATGACATTCGATCATTACTGAAAAATTGAAAACAGTGTCAGTCGATCCTTAACATGATGAATAAGTTGCTTAAGATTCTCTTTAATTTAAATATACATTCATTAGATAATGGTAAATATATAGGGTTTTAGGGAACGATTACTTAGTATCTTGTAGCTCGAATTCAATCTTTTTCCTCTCCTTCCCATTGACTTGGACAGTTTCAATATCCTTCACGTCAATAACTTGGCCAATCGCGTCTGTGAAATCCCAGAATATCATTAGGCAATTTTTAGAATATTTAGTGAAGAACCATATAGCACTACTCTAGATATTTCAAGAATGATGTTTAACCCATCAAATAAATTGGCTGTTAAATTCGACTTACCAACCAAGAAGCTGTGGTTAAGGGTACCACTTAGAATAGTGCCAAAGTCCACGAGATTGATGAATTCTAAGTTGCTTTTGACACTGCACTTCGTGATAGTAGTATTGTCTGTGAACGATATCTTGTAATTGTGCTTAGTAGGGCGATACTGATCAGATGCAGATGTCAAAGAGAAGCTCTCAATAACTTTCTATTCTCCTACTGGAACCAACCGTTCAACATGGCTCACATATGTCTTCTTACACGATGCATGTATCAAAGTATTCTACAAAAGGTGACGTTTAAATTATTACATAGCATTTCAATCTTTCAATAAGCTGTTTAGTTTTGATTAACAAATATTCATACACTCACATTTTCATCACCAAGAATCAGCTCCAACGTTTGACCTGACTGGACCATGTACTGCTTCCATAAGTGGAGGACTTTCACTCGGATTCGCCAGGATGACTTGAATGGTTTGACATCGGCAAGGTTAGTGAAACCAATCAGAGAACTCATTTTTTGGGTTTTGAGTTTTGATAATCGAGAATAATAGTTAGTGTAGTGTTTAGTGAGCCTATATATAAGATGAATAGCTATAGGAAGGATATATTCTCATATATTTTTAGTACAAATTTAGTTAGAGTCATTTTCGGTATGAGTTGATGATAATCGATCAATTTTTTTGCTTAAATCTTTCGAACTATAACTAATTTTTATAACTGCTTAAGAATATTCTATAGGACATATTTTTAGTTTCTGTGAAGATATGCGTATATATGGATTTAAAATAATATTTAAGAAGATATGATTAACTACCAATTATCTCCGAGATTTTGAATACTACGATATTTTACATCTAACTAATTACGTAAATAAGATAGTTATATATGTGAAGTACATTTAAAATGAATATCTGTTATTACTGTTTTGAGAATTTGCAAATACTCGACGATATTTGGGATTCTAATAGTTTTGATGTAGATATGATCGAATTTGAATGTTATTCTTGTTTTGAGGTTTAGATAAACTGTTTTTTAAGAAAGGTTATTATTTATTTGGTTTGAAGTAGATATCGGTTAAGATGTATTGAATCTGAATTTTGGAACCGTTTAAGAACTATTTATATGATCGAATTTGAATGATATTTCTTCTTTCTGGAAATGAATTTGAAGTTATGTTTGCAGGGAATTGAAATTATTCTCCACAACGACACATTAGATGGTCACACAATTTCGGTTTAGGTAAATCCGGTTACTCTGTGAATCCGGCTAATCAAAGTGTATGCCATATATTATTTTTTCATGATGTAATTGACTGAATGTATTGTATGTTTTCTAATATTGTGTCGAAATCATATTTAGTTGGTTAGTCATAGTATTTGTCAAGTCGAAAATGCCCTTAATGAAATCATGAAATGTTCTAACAAACCCAATGGCATAAATCGTAAATACCACGGTAGGATTTGACATATTTTAGCAATGATCCTCTTTTAATAGTTTAGATAACTGGGGCTTTTTTCAGTTAAAAAAAACTGGTTTTTCTCATTTTACCCTTATTATCTGGTGACATATATAAAGAGGTTATTATTGGATTTAACTGAAATATAAGATGAACAGAAAATACTAGAATAACTTGAAAGCAATTTTTTTATTTTCATTTGATAAATATAGATTTAAGATCTTACAGAGTCATCTATGAATACAGAGAGAATGTTATTAGGAACAAAACGATAACAATGACTATTAGATCCATTTGGGATGGATGATTTTGCTAATATATCTGCTGCTTTGTTTGCTATTCTCGGTATCCAGTTTAGTTTGACCTCTTCAAATTGTCTCATCCACCATCGTATATCTCGTATCCAGTTGTATGCATTGAAGTGTAGTGTTTGTGTTACTATAGCTTGAACGACTTGTTGACTGTCCCCTTCAAATATTATCTTTTGATAACCCTGAGACCAGCAATGTTTCATTGCAACTAGTAAAGCTTGTAGTTCACTTTCAAAGGCATTCTTCACATACACTCCATGTATTTGACCTGCTCCACAGAAGTCTCCATTGTCATTTCTGATTATCCATCCGATCTTTCCATTTGTTGTGGTGTCCTTAAAAGAGCCATCATAATTGTATTTGATCCAAGTAGTTGGTGGACGTTGCCAATGTGTATTCAAACGATGGTCCTGTTGATGTTGTTGTCGTCGAGCATCTTGATATCCATTACTTCCGGTGACTTTTTGGTGTTGTATTCGTTCTTCCATATCATTGCATTCGTTGTAATCACTCCGTGCAAGGCTCAAAATGCGTACCCAAGATATATGTTTTTATTGGAACATGAGCAAGTTTCTACTTTTCCAGATACGCCACAGAATCCACAGTGGTAACTCATTAAAGGATGACCATCGAGTCTGTTGACGTTGTAAACAGACTTTCAGTTTTGTGTTGAAGGTTGTTGTTGTGTCTAATATTTCTGAAGGCATAAAACCAGACCCTCACCAGATACATTGTGCATATGGGCAATCAAAGAACAAGTGTTGCATAGTTTCTTCTTCTATACAACATCTTTGACAAAAGGAGTCGTGGATAATATGACGTCTTCGTAGATTTTCTCCGGTTGCCAAGGAACAAGAAATCATTTTCCAAAGAAAATGTTTTATTTTTGGAGGGAGCTTACTTTGCCAGATGAAATATTTTATTTGTGATTCTCCTGATGGTGGTTGAATTTGTAAAGGATTATTGGTATGTGTTGCCAACCAATATCCAAATTTGACCATGTATAATCCTGACTCTGTGTAAGCCCACCCTAATAGGTCATGAGTTCCTGTGGTTGATAGTCGAATGCGTAGGATATGCTCTATATCTTCATCAGCTACTAGTTCACGAACTTTATTCTCATCCCATCCTGTTCTGGTACTATTAAGGAGTATAGTGAAGGGACTAACCATTGATTTTTGAATCCTTGGTCTTGGTGGTCTTGGAGGATGTAGAGGAAGCCATGAATCTTGCCAAACTTTTATAACGGAACCATCTCCTATAATGAACTGTAATCCCTTTGCAAGAAGATCTTTTCTATGTAGGAGTGAATTCCAAACATTTGATCCTTTTTTAACTTTTCTTCCTTGAAGAATACCAGTATCTGGAAAGTATCTGCCTTGAAGAATCCGGGCCATCAAGCTTTGTGGATTATGAAGTATTCTCCAGGCTTGCTTAGCAAGTAAAGCTTGGTTGAAATATTCAAGATCTCGAAATCCCAATCCACCTTCTCGTTTCGGTATGCTTAGTCTCTTCCAAGCGTACCAGTGCATTCCTCTTCGATTCTGACCTTTGCCCCACCAAAACTTGGCAAAAATACTATTTATCTCAATAGTAATGTGTTTTGGTATGTGGAACACATTCATAGTAAACACCGGCATGGCACTAGCTACCGATTTTAGTAATATCTCTTTTCCTCCTTGCGACAGGAAACCTTTATTCCATCCTGTTGTACGCGTCACCGCTTTGTCTTTAATATATGAAAATAGCTCTCCCTTCTTGCTTTCGAACTGTTCAGGGACTCCCAAATATTTGCCATTACCTCTGTCATTATGTATTCCTAATAGATGTGTCATTTGTCTCTTAGTCGTGTGTTTGACCTTACTTCCAAACGTAATAGCTGATTTGTTGAGGTTGACTGCTTGACCTGATACCGATTCGTAGAGATTAAGGATCCGTTTCAATTCTCGCCCTGCTTTTGGGTTTGCTAAAGAAAAGAATAGCGAATCATCTGCAAATAACAGATGATTTACTGTAGGTGATCGGTTGCTAATTTTTATACCCTGTAACTGCTTCTCTGTCATAGCCTTGTTCATGAGATGTGATAATACTTCGGCACACATAATGAATAGATAAGGCGATAGTGGATCTCCTTGTCGGAGACCTCGTTGAGGTTGAATATATCCTTCAGCTGCACCGTTGATTAATACTGAGAAACTAACGCTTGTAACACAAGTCATTATCCACCTAATCCACTTGTCTGCAAATCCAAATCGTCGCATTGTTTCCTCAAGAAATGACCATTCCATTCTGTCATAAGCTTTAGTGATGTCAGTCTTCAAAGCCATATAGGATGTAGCTTGGCGAGTACGGACCTTTAGACTGTGGTAAACTTCATGAGCCACTATGATATTGTCTGTAATCATTCTCCCTGGGATAAAAGCAGCTTGATTCTCCGAGATCATCGTTGTTAGATGCGGCTTTAATCGATTAACAAGAATTTTGGATATAATCTTGTAGAAAACATTACATAGCCCGATTGGTCGGAAGTCAGACATCAATGAAGACGGTGTCACCTTCGGGAATAGGCATAGATTGGTATGATTATGAGTCGTGTCAAAGGACTCATTAACAAAGAAGGCTTGTATATCCGCCTCTACTGTTTCTCGTAGGTCAGACCAATATGTTTGGTAGAAATCCGCTGAAAGACCATCCGGTCCTGGAGCACGATGAGGTCCGATACTACGGACTGCTGTTTGTATTTCTTCTGATGTTAGTTGTCGTAGTAAGTCTTTGTTCATGTCCTCCGTGACTCTTGTATGAAATCCAAGAAAAGTTTCCCCAAAAAACATAGACGGATTTGTTGTTGAGGAGAATAGCGTTGTAACATATTGTGTCGCAATATGTGAAATTTCATCTTGTCTTCTTTTCAAAACACCATGTTCATCCAGTATGGAAGGTGGTTTTTGACTCTCCGAGTTTTCGTCACATTATGAAAGTAACGTCTATTTCGGTCACCTTCCTTGAGCCATGTGATTCTGCTCTTTAATTTCCAGTAGAGTTCTTTTTCTACGTACGCTTGATGGAGATCACAGCGTAATTGATTCCTTTCATCTGTTGTGAGCTTATTAGTTGTAATAGCAGTATCGATTGTATGGCGGAGGATAGCTATCTTTTCTGCAGCATTGGTGCGATTCTTCTTTTTCCAACGAGAAATATATTTCCTGGAGCTTTGGATTGGTGAAGCTAAGGTTAGAAAGGGGTCAGAGGACCTCATTGTGTCATCCATCCGCGAACGATTGCTTCACGGAATCCATCATGGTCTTTATACCGTCCATCAAAGCGAAATTGGCCTCGTGTTTCTGTTTTGATATCAGATATATAAGTAACCAAAGGTCTATGATCAGACTCTGCAATCTCCAAAAACTCTGTTTCAGAGGCTGGATACTGTGCTAACATACATGTATTAGCCATAGTTCTATCTAAACAACATGAGACATCGTTATTTCCTCTTCTACCATACCAAGAAAAACGATTCCCAATAGATTTCAAATCTGAGAAATCACAATGTCTCACCATATTTCTAAAATCAGTGAAGGAACTTTCAGCCCGTCTACGTCCCCCTTTCTTTTCATGGTTCCCTAAAATTTCATTCATATCTCCCATAATAAGCCAAGGAGCACCTTGTCGAGAAGTAGCTAATCTCTCTAATCTTTCCCAAGTATGATTACAGAAGCTAACATTAGGATGGCCACAGACAAATGAAAAATAGAATTGCATTCCATTACTAGAAACTGAAGCATCTACAAGGTTTGGATATTGAGAATGGAAAGACATTTGAACAGACTGATTCCAAAAGATTGTTAATCCTCCACTAAGTCCTAAAGGTGGTACCGAAACATAGTTAGGGAAACCTAATTGAGCACCCACGTCACGGAAGTAGTCGTCTTGTTGCTTTGTCTCTGAAAGGCAAATGATGTCCGGGAGATACTTCTTGTTGATCTCCTTCAGGCGTCGAACTGTCAGGTCATTTCCCAAACCTTGACAGTTCCAGCAGGTTGTCCTCATGGCTGCAGAGGTGGTTCAGGGTCCACCGCACCTCCTTGATTAGGAATGTCATCGACTTCCTCTGTTTGACCACTTGATTCACCTTTATCTTGTTTCTTTGAGAAGAACTTGCCAGCATTGTTTCCTTCCTCTATGTATTTTCGTTTGACATTCCGAGTTGCTGTACGTGCTTCCACAGAATACTCATCATATGAGTTTCGGATAACCGCTGGATTGTATTCATCATTCAGAGCCATAGAGTTCATTGATGATCCACGATATATAGCACCCTGAAGATAAGCATCTTCCTCAATGTTTTCATTTTGAGAGAACGGACCAATTTCACCTGTTGGGTTTGAGGATTCTTGGTTCGCGGGCTGATTATCATCAGGTTCAACATTGTCTCGGTGCTCTTGGATTGCCTCCGTCTCCATATCTTCATCTTGAGTTCTTCGATAACTACATCATGTGGTCGGGCTTGATGTTCCTCTTGTTGCTCCACTGGTTGCTCTTCGTCACTGCCGTCATCATCATGGTCGTCGATATTGTCTGGATCAGGACCTCCATTTTGTATCAGACAATTGCCAGAATCGTGAGTAAGCATGCCACATATCTCACAAAAGCCGTGAAGTCTTTCGTAAGTGAATCGAAGCATTGTGTTGACACCAGGGGAGAATTGAAAGTTTCGCTGAAATCGTAGTGGATTATGAATATCCCAATCAATACATACCCTGACGAATTCTACTCTGGTGGCAATCTCCGGATTAAACTCGACCTCCAATAGCATTCCAAGAGCCCTGCCAATATGGGCGATAACATCATGGCTCAGGTATTGAAACGGGATTCCTCGGATCTGAACCCAGAAGGGAATGCAATGCATTTCATCTGGATTGGTTCTCGGCGTCCATCTCTGTAGTATTAACATTCGATCCGCGAAGGCCCACGGTCCTCTACGGAGTACCCATTCAAGTGCTTCTTCTGATGAGAAAACGAACTGGAACCGCCTTCCTTCGATGACACGGCCGTGGGCATGCCCAATAACTCCCCAGATTATTGGGAGATTGGCGATTATAGATCGCAGATTTTGACGCCGTGGTATTACTGGTCGACCGATGATAACGAAACGATTCGCTGCCATAGCTTGGTGAACTATTTCCGAAGGGAAAACAAAGGGAGGTCCTCCGCTCCGATGTTAATGTCTTGAATTGCTCTCCCTAGGTTGCCGGCCATTGTGTTTGATGGAGTATCAAAAGAATGCCAAAGGGGATTGCGTTTAGAGTTGTGAATACATCTAATTGCAATTCGCTTTAAATAATCGATACGCAAAATAACTGTTGAAATAAAACTGCCATCACGATTGTAAGTTGGAACAATCGTGGGATTCATCGTCAGGGATGAGTGGTTAAATCTCTGGAATTTTGCCACTACGTCGCCGGAAAAATTGAAAAACCGTCACCTTATGGGTGAGTGAGAACCGGTGGTTAAACCGTTTTTTTTTGCCTTTACAGTCACCTTTTTTCGTCTTTTACTCTCTAAATACAGTAATTTTAATATAGTTCTAATATAAAATGTGTTAAAAAAACATGTCTTGAGTTAGACAAAATTTCTG